GTCTATCAATACCTGAGGCAGATGGGAGAGCTGGCTCTGTAATCAGAATGAGAGAGCTGTTCCTAACCCCCATCAGCTACAACACTCAGGAGGGCAGGCCCTACACCTTGCCTTGGCAACACAATGGAGCCAATCTTGTTGGACGGGGTGTGGGTGAGCCAGCCCTGGAGTTATAAATGTGGAAGAGCTGTTCCCACCTTCATCTGGCATGTGGCAGTGTGGGTGGGTGAGAGATGCCCCCCTTAACCCTCGCCCTTTACCACCTGTACCAGACAAGAGCTGACCCTCCTCCTTACCAGCAGCATCACGTGGGAAATGGACCCTGCCCCGCTCCTAGGCATCACAGCAGAGCTGCCCAGTGGTCAGAGGTGAGAGAGACTCAGTTCCAATGTTATGGGCAAAGGAGAAGTGTCCCCATTACTATTCAGACATTTGGTAGCATGCGCAGAGAAGAGATGCCCTCCTTCTTACCTCCCAGTCATCAGCGCCTGAGACCGGTAGAAGAGCTAGCGCTGGGATCATAAGAACAGGAAGGCTTTCCCTACCGATCACCAGCTGCAGGACTCAGAAGAGTGGCCCCTGCATTTCACCTGGGAAAAACAATAGAGCTGGCCCTAATGTTGTAGGGGTGGGAGAGCTGACCCTAAGGGCGTGAAACCAAGAGAACCAGCCCCAAACTCATTAATTGCTGCAAGAGGTGGATTAACTGGGGCAATTCTGGAGAGCTCACCCTTGTGGTGAAGACAGGAGACAGCTGGGTAGCTCAACACTACAGCCACCCAGGCCCAGAACTAGAACTATGATTTGGCCCAACATAACTCCTACACCATCAGTTATATGCTGGAGAATGTGAAGGAACCTCACCATCTCACCTGTAGACCCAAAGTTGCAGCATCTCCACAACACAGGGCAACAACAGAATACCCAAGAAGAGTCCTAGTGAGGGTCCAGCATTGATACTGTAGTAGAAACCAGAGGCCTCGAACCAGACCAATGGTCCTTTGCAATGAACACTTACAAATAAAGATGTATGGACAAAGACATTTACTGAGTGACTCACTGTGTCACACTGCAGCTTCCATAATGAGATTTTAATTTTTTCCTTTTTTCTCTTAAATTTTCTTTTATTGAGGGATGCAATGGCAGAGAGGACATGCAAAGAGACTGGGAAATGAATTGGATCAAGATACATGATGTAAAAAATATATAGAATAAATAAAAGAAAGTAAAAATAGATTTATGTATTTTAACTTTAATTGTATGGGTCTTTTCCTTCAGGTAGGTCAGTGCACCTAATGCATGAAGTGGCTGCAGTGGCCACAAGAGGGCAATAGATCCTTTGGACCTGAATTAAGTCACCATGCATGTAGAGGGACCTGAACCTAGAAACTGCAAGAGCAACAAGTGCTCTTAACTGCTGAGCCACCTCTCCAACACTCAGTTTATTTATCCTTAATTAGCTATTGTGGAGACTTAAATCAATGAGCAGTGGAGCAGGATTCATGAAGTACTGCAGATACTTTGTTAGAATGTCAGGGTGATTGGCAGCTCATGAATAACAATGATACAGAAGTGGGGTGACA